TCATGTGTTACAGACGATCATAGCGGCAAAGCGGCTTGGTTACCATGGATACGCAAATGACGTTGCATTAACGGTATCGACTTAAAGGGCTCCTGTCGTCTTCTTCAAACCGGTGGGAGATTTGGGCTGAGCCGGTAAAAGCTATTATTAGCGTCTTTTTCACGCTTCGAACAGACTAGTTTTAACGAGTTTGGAGTTGCAGGAGACGTGTCGTAAACAGTAGCTTTCGGGCAACGTACGATGTCTTTGATGTCTGCGGCTTGTCTGTAGTTTGTGGTAGCGATGTCGCAGTATCCAGGAAGCAGCAATGTACGGGACACGAGCACGGAGGCCACGAATGTTAACATGACTGTCTTGTGGGACGGCGAAGAGGACGGCAGTTCGTACGGACCGATGACCCGACTGATCGTCCTGGTGACAGTGCTGTCAGTGGTCATCATCGGCGGGATGCTCCTGGTGTCCTTCAATCTATTCCTCAGGTAACGTTATTAGAACTTGTTCGTTTTCTACCTTTACTCTTACTTGGCAGACAGCCACACACTTTCGTCTGGCCCAGTCCCAATGACTTGTCATTGCAATTGTCTGATCGTGTAGAAAAAAAATCAACTTGGCAAAACGTATTCACACTAACGTTGGCACCAAATATATTGTCTGACCCCCCCAGACTGGCAGCCTCCTTCCCAGACTTGTGCGGCGGCGTTGATTTTGGGGAAAGCGCTGATTTTTACACGGGCTACGACCTGGGAGTTTTGCCGCAGAGGGAGTCATGTGCCACGGAGGGAGTAGTATAGCCGCCAACTAGCCTCCTGTGCAGGCTCCGGGGCGGGTGGGAATTTTGATGCAGCGTTTTGAAGAGTACTTAACGTCAAACAGCCACGAGAGAAGTCTGCGAAGGAGGCTACCAGACTGGGGGTCAGACAATATATTTGGTCCCAACATTAGTATGAATGAGTTTTCTCAGTTTTTTTTAGGCTATCAGACCGGTAGCAAATTGTATTAGTGACGCTGTCAGACTGACGGACTTGACTCATCGAGCAGCCCACGTATGCTGTCATGTCCCATGCTGAGAATTACCTCTTTCCCACAGAACCGAGCCGTACGGACTTCGGCACATCAGCGGGAACGACGAGCACAACGAGCGGTACAGCACGGCCATGTCTTACACCGGAGATACCCTCCTCTACGGGCGGAGCGACATGATGGACTTCAGTGAACTACCATGAGCGCATTTATGTAGTTAAAACTTTTGTTTCAACACAAAAAGGAAATGTTCTCACTTAGAGTTTGATTTTGAATTTTGACCAGTCACTCTGGTCTCCTTCAATACTAGTAGACTGCCCCAGATACTTTTGAGCTAATGCTGACGTCACACTTCAGAGAAGCCATGTGACAAGTCTCACTGGGTCAGTCTATTGAAGAAGACCAGAGTTACTGGTCGAAAGCTCTAGGTGAGAACATTTTTTTGCGTCGGAACAAAAGTTTAAACTTTAAACATGTAACTGCTGACGCAGAAAGATGAACTTTCATGATACCATGTGCATAGTAGGACCGACGTCTGGTGGCACTACCCTTGAAAGCGTCCATGTACCTCATGAGCTCAGTGAATGAGTCAACAGTTCATTGGAAGGCTTTTCAGTACCAAGGACATTTCGCGGGGACTGTACATGTACACTTCTTATTACGCTTCGCTTCGGCATTTCTTCAGAGGATCACCATAATAGCTTCAGACACTTCGGCATTTCATTTGAATATTCTATAAGTCGCTCAGTTGTTGGAATGTTCTTCACTATTTTGACACTTTGGCAATGCGTGAGAAAAAAGGCGTTGGAATATTCTTCAGAACTTTGACACTTCGGTAAAGCATTAGAAAAAAGACGTTAGAATGTTCTTCAGTATTTTGACACTTCAGTGATGCGTTAATATAATGTCAAAGACATGACGTTTACCATCTTTGTAGCATCCTTTTCGACACAAATTCAACAGCTTTCCTTAGATCAGCTTTTTTTTCTTTTCAGAAACACATTCGCTTACCAATACGTAAACACTTGTTTAATAATGGTAATGTAATTCCCAAAAAGGTTGCAAAAGTGATCTCGAAATGTTTTTTAATACTTTCATTGGACCCTCATTCGCATTATGGTAAAATTTCCCATATAGAGTCCATTCCGTGTCACCGAGTGGGTTGTTATTGTCATTATTTAGAAATGTTTTGAATTCTTTGTAATTGTTTGTCTAAGAAATTTCATAATCTGGAAATATTTTGAACATCTTGTCAATATTCTAAATAATTCCCTGGTTTTCTAAAATGTTTGAAATATTCCTGATGTGGAACATGACATTTCCAATAGTTTCTAAATATTTCTAACAGCACTCTACCATTTTTTACCATTATTTCGAATTATTTCTAACATTTTGTAAATAGGTCAGTGGGATGGGAAGGAAGTAATTCACACATCCCTGTGAAGTACAGGGTAGACTGCCTGGGTGTCAGGCATTGATGCCTTACAACAAAAGAGCCACCAGTGTCCAGCAGTGAAATCTAAAAATATACAGAAGAATACAGAAGAGTAGGATTAGCACCTACTTTTATGGGGGCAATTACCCACATCTACCATTTTTCATTTGTTTGAAATAGTTCTAAATATTTCGAATAGTGAAAGAAACAAATGGGTAGTTCAAATTTATTCTAAATAAAGAGATCTTTGTACAGTCACTTTCAAAATGTTTTAGAAATATATAAATGAATTCAAATATATTCAAATTTTCATTTTCAAATTTTTGAAAAATTTAGAACTTTTGTTACTAGGGTATCCTTTTCTTCTAAATAATTCAAACGTATTAGAAACATGGAGAAAAAACCCACTCGGTGACGCGGAATCGACTCTACTATGTAACTGTGCACATTGTAATATATATTTGATCAACATTATATTTCCCTACAGGTGACCCCATGGACAGAAATGTACAAACATGTACCTCGTCTATATACAGTTTATGTTTTAGGTTGAGAAAACTAGATGACGGATAAAAGTGACAATATGTACAGTACAATATAAAATTGTATTTCACCAAGACTGCGTTTCAAATGCTTTTTGCCATTACTCGGATAGTTCCTTTAGCTATGTCTGAAGTACTTATATTACATACATTAAACACAATCTTATATACTAGTAGTTTTTTGACTGCTGTAGACCTTAGTCTCGTTATTACATGCACAGACCATGGATTCTTCAGGGATACACATATGAATGAATAAACTTTATTGTTCGACAGTATGACAACCATGACAAAGCAACCAATACTATGATACTACTCGATTCTAAGAAACTATCACTAGAGGAATATGGACGCAAACGGCTGATGGAAACGCTTTTATTACATGTACAATGCATGCTCTCTTTTGTCCACATGCAGTCATCAATTCACCATACAGTTATATCTGTTTACGTCCATGTGTCCATATTAAAATCAATGAGGAAGTGAATAATCTTTGCAAAGCTGCCCTGGGGTATGTAGTATTATCCAGGCTCAGCTTGCGTGACTCTGTACAGCCTCTGTTTTTATTCGGAGATACACACATAAGTTGTACAAAATACCAACGCCATGCAGCATTATCACACATGGTTTACTATTCAGTAACGCGATTTTCAAGTCACGTCCACTCTTCACTAGATTTCCATCAAGGCTTAGTGGACATGAGAAAGAATATGACACATCCTGTAGCTTATCTATAGCACACTACAGAGGATATATACGTTTCTTCTCTAAAATGTCCTTCGATAGTTGTCACATAATCCTCAGTATCAAAGACGAGATATGGTTGGCCATTCGTGTTCAAAAGGAACCACGTCAAGCTTTGAAATTTCGTAGATATAGAGACCATAGTGTAAGACCATAGTGTATTAAAGTTCCTCTATACAGTTTGAGGAAAGGCTATTAGCAAGGCATATGGGCAACGTCAATGAAAACATGACCTCCTCTTGGTTGTTAGAAAATACAGTATGCTATTCCAAAAGGAATCGCTATTCGTCGCTTTACTGCCGCTATCTGATGAGTAGATCATGTTCTGAAAGAAAGGCAAAGAGATGATATGCGACGCTAATCCTTATACGTGTATCATGTGAGGTTGTACTTTGAACTTCTGCTTCAAATTCACACACACACACACACACACACACACACACACACACACACACACACACACACACACACACACACACACACAAACAGACAGAGAGTGAGAGAGAGAGAGAGAGAAACGTTCCTGTCCTTGGTGCTGAACACCATCCATGCGCACTCACTCACACTGGCAAACACACCTGTCCTTGGTGCTGAATACTATCGACACACCCACTCACTCACACTGGCAAACACACCTGTCCTTGGTGCTGAATACTATCGACACACCCACTCACTCACACTGGCAAACACACCTGTCCTTGGTGCTGAATACTATCGACACACCCACTCACTCACACTGGCAAACACACCTGTCCTTGGTGCTGAATACTATTGAAACACACACACACACACACACACACACACACACACACACACACACACACACACACACGCTCACACACTCACACACTCAGACATCGGTTTTTGTATCGGTAAATTAATTAGTTATCACTCAAAATGAACGATATCTGTTTTTTCTTGTTTGTGAAAACACGCGCATAAACAAAAATGCGATTTCAATTGTTCCCTAGAATGTGTGGATTTTTCCTATCCTTATTCCCTCCGCCAGCAATCTTTCTAAAGTCTGTCATCCCCGGACGTCGGAATGGGCAGACTTCTCTGTGTTCATCTTCAAAGTTCATCTTTATTAAAACATAAGTGATCTAGACCTGGGCACATCTGTGCTGACAAGGGTTCATTTCCGTAAGTCCACTTCTATTCAACACCGCCATAATCATGGAATTTAGTTATCAAACACGTAAAACCGGTTGCGTAGCAACCTGATGTCACAATAAAATAATCTCTGCCTTTTAAGATAATTCATAATAGTGCTATGAGTGAATGGCAATTACAATGTTCTTCCATATACAGTGAGGCATAAAACGTGCCTTCAATGAATTTATTGGTGATTTCTTTTCCACCACACAGCAGATAATTTTTCTATTTCTTCAACAAGAAGAGCATAAAATCAGTGCATTTATGTAGCCTCCTTTGCAGACGTTCCAGGATCGGTTCCCTGGATAGCTATCTAGGGTCTAGGGGAGCTTCTATTGCGTGCGATCTACTTTTGATCACCAGACCACCACCACCCCCCACCCCCCAAAAAAATACGACCGATCCCGGAACGGCTGCAAAGGAGGCTAGCATCTATGTCGTTTGTGGCAAAGTGAATCTGTCTTGGATATAATTCTGGAGGTCTGAGATGATCGTTTCACGGCGTTTTGATGATGATTTGTTCCGTCGTGTCAACAGCTACATGATTCGTTACCCACGACTGTAACTCGGATATCCTCTGTGTGATCCAGACGTGATTTGACGGTGTTGTCGTGGACATGGTTGCGTAGGGGCTGCGAAGGATTTGATGTTGAAATCTCGTAATTCCTTGAGTGTATATTCTCCGCACTACCTGCACGCCTTCGGTACTAGTCGACGAAATACGAAGAAATTAAATACCGCCATTCAATAGACCGTAAGAGCCGTTAGCGTCAGTAAGAGGAGTGCGCATACTATATCCAAGAAGCGTGTGCATAAAATATGTTAAAAACGTCTAATTTATTTAGTTCATAGCATGAAAGTTCATCTGCGTTAGTATACTTCATTATGACCAAAAAACTTTCTAGCCAACACTAAGTAAATTGGGACTTACTCAAATTTTCGACCGACTCCGTCAGCCTTGTTCAAGTTATTCATTTCATCTTAAAGCGGCTGGGCAGCCCATTCAGCTAGTAGAAGCTGCTTTCCAACGGGACCCAGTATACAATTTCACAGGACAGGACGTGATTACATGTAGTCAGACAACAAAGGCATATCGGATCCATAAATCAAAGTCGTCATAACGTTCCAATGTCAAAACCAATGCATTAATGGCATGAAGACGATATGAATGATATGCAGTTGATACTTGCATCTGTACAAAGTGAAAAAAATCCATTATCGTTATCATAACAGACGAAGAGGTACGAGTATATTCTGCGTTTGCTTGAAAATGAGGGCTTTCTAGCCTACGTATATTGCCTAGTACATTTTTTAACGGTGTTGCTCA